GCGGTACCCCAGGAGTGTCCAAAGATGTCATTCTAAACAACAGTGCCACCTCCTCACCCCAGAGCAGACTCGCAGCTAAACCTCAGCCTTGCTTCCAAAGGAGACCCTGGGGCTGGCCCGCCATTAACTCCCCCACGCCCCCTGCACTTTGGGATGGTCCAGAGGCCTGAGTTAGACCCTGAGTGGCCCAGGAGGCCAGCCCGCCCCCAGAGGGGAAGCCACGGGGCTGCAGGTAACAGCACCACCGCGAATATCAGCGACAGGCAAATGCAAGAACCTCGCTCCCACTCAATGGTCTAAATGCATTTTGTCACCAAATGTTGCCCCAGAAATCATCTGTATTCAGGCACCATTTCCCTACCGACCCATCACCAAGAGGTAATTAAAATGTCTCAAAAATCACACCTAATCCAAAGGGACATGGCCCCTTAAAGGAGAAACTACATCTGGGGCCCAAATGTTCTAAGTGAGTTCAACAGCTGAGCTTGTGCCTGAGAAGATTAGCAACTGGGTAACGGGGTGGGGGGGGGGGGCGGGAGACACTGCCTTAGACAGGGAGTGGCTATCCGCTGGGGCTGACACAGGCCTCCCACATGCCTGTTTCTGGCGTTGACATGCGCAAGAGTCTTGACCAGGCACAGGCTCAGGTGTGTCATCCCTAGGTCTCCTCCTCTTTCTTCCCACCCAGGTGGTGTCTGGGATGCAGCTGCCTCGCCCAGAGCTACACCGAGTCAGCTGGAGCGTGGACGCCAGCATTCACATGCACTGAAGTCTGCCTCTATCAGCTCACGCGGTCCTCACGGCCACTCTGTCGTGCCTTGAGGAAAGGCAGGCTCTGAGTGATGGGCTCAGGGCTGCCTGGCCAGCCATAGGGAGAGACCAACTGAGGGCCAGCCGCCAGGTCACCGCCCACAGCAGGGGACCTCACCACTGGGAGGCTGGAGGGTGACACTCTGGGGAGAGAGGGCAGCTGGGACCGCCCTGTGCCCATGACTTCCCTGGGGACCTTGGGTGCTAAGGTGCGGAGTCTGGCCCGGGAGGTCTGACGTGGGACCTGAGAGTCACCTTCCTCACGTGCTCTCAGGTGATGCCCATGGTGCCACCGCCTGGACCACATCTCGGGCAGCAACGGCCTAGACTTGAGTGGCTTTTTCTGCGCCCCCTAACTTGTGTGATCACTTTCTCGCTGGGACTCATGGGGTCCTGGCATCTTGTTGCCACACATTTTAGTTTTTTTGAGATGAAGAGATTAAAACGGTGATGATGCACGAGGCAGAAAATAAATATCTGGATTTTCGTTTCAGTTGGGCATTCGCCCTTTTCTTCCTTACCCACCTCTTGGCTAAACCGTCTGCACCCATTCACCTGCAAGGAGTCAGGCCGGAGCAGCGTGCTCCGGAAGTGCCACCACGGGGCGCCCTTCAAGGAGAGGGACCGCCATGCTCCCTTCTTCCCATACGAAACTGATGCTGCTGGGAGCAGGGTCGGGGGGGGGGGGTGCGTGGGCTGCAAGCAGGGGCCCGAGAATGCGGGAGTCCTCCGCTCAGAGACCTCAGTGGCTCCCACCTCCCTCAGAGAAAAGCTGAAGCTTTAACCGGGCCCCACGAGGCCCCATGTGGTCCGGCCCCGCCACCCCTCTGCCCTTGAAGTCCCCTCCCAGGAACAGGCTTCTCCCCGACCTTTGGTGTCACCTCCGGTGCAGCCTTCCCAGGGGGGACATCCTCGGCCACCCTTGGGAGACTAGCTGTCCCTGTGCCCCCACCGCCCCACTCCAAAGCACTCTCTTGTCACCCCCCTCATCCCTCCACGGCCCTTCCCCCGTCCGCCACCCTGTCCATTTTAGTCAACGAGTTCACGTCTGTCTCCCTGCCCCCTTCTCCACTGGAACGTGGGCTTCACACGGGCAGGGATGTTTGTTGTTCTTGTCCACTCTGTTCACTGGCACATCCCCGTGCCTCAAACAGAGGGCAGCACGTAGCAAGTGCTCAGCATTGTGAAACGGATGAATGAGCGGCCTGCCTACCACGGTGTCGGGCTCTGGGACCAGCCCGGGAGTCATTAGCTCCTTTGAACTCCGTAACCAGCCCTGCAAAGTTAGTCTTTTAATCCCCATTCTAAGATGAGGAAACTGAGGCTCAGGGTGGTTAAGGGACTTGGCCAAGGATGCAGAGTGACGAAGTGGCTGGTCTGGGACTCGGGCACCGGTCTGGCTGGTTTCAGAGAATTGCTCTTTTCTGCCTGTGGCTGCCTCCGAGGCAACAACTGTCTTACTATGACAAACGCAACATTAACTCGCTTTCCTTACTGTAAGCAGCAAATGCTTTTTTCCCCTTTTTTTTTAACTTTATTTTAATCATTGTTCAAGTACAGTTTTCTGTCCTTTACTCCCATCCCGGCCCACCCACCCCTCCCTCCCCACCTCCCTCCCATTTCCACCCCTCCTAGTTTTTGTCCATGTGCCCTTTATATTTGTTCCTGTAATAAGCAGCAAATGCTTTACTTAAGAATTTTGCCACATCTTCCCCTGGCCAACAGGGTTCAGTGGGTTGGGTGCTGTCCCTCAAAGCAAAAGGTCACAGGTTCGATTCCCAGTCAGGGCACACACCTGGGTTGCGGGCCTGGTCCCCAGTTGGGGTGCACTCGAGAGGCAACCTATTGATGTTTCTCTCCCTCTCTTCCTTTCTCTCAAATAAATACATAAAATCTTAAAAAGAATTTTTCCAAATTTGCCCGGAACTTGGGGTCTAGTGCATCCAAGAGAGTCTACGGGGGAGCTCATGCCCCCAGAGGAGGAGGAAGTTCCAGCACCCACCGGTTGGTTCAAGGGAGCCCCTATCAGCTGAAGGGAGGGAAGGACCCTCCTTCGACCACTTCCTGAACCCCAAATGAGCCACAATAATTCCGGTTTTGTTGCAAATTTTCCTCTTTTTTTTCTAAGTCTTCCTGAGCAATCTCTTTGACCTTTTGAAGCCTGGGTAACCGTTCATCACCATTAGCTGCTGCTCACCATGTGGGTTCTGGGACAGGAATCTGTCTCTGATGAGTTTCCCAAAACCAGCCTTACACACTGACCCAGGGGCCACAGTGCCCCCCACACTCGCTACCCGCCCCCCAGGCCCATTAATGGCTGTGGCTTAGGCCACAGGGACAAGACCCTGTAAAGGGAGCCGGGTCCAGGGGGGCCGTGAAGGCAGGAGGCGCCCGTGCCACCGAAAGCCCATCTGCTGCTCATCCTGCTGTGCTCTGGGCGGCCCTTCTTCCACTGCCCATCCTTCTCGATCGTACGAGCCCACCTGTTTTCTTCAAACACTCACTGCCTGATGCTGCCCTGCTCCCTGATTTCCACATTTGCTTACTGTCGGTCTCCTCCGAGGAGGGGAAGCAGGGCGGGAGCTGGCCCGCGCCTGGCACAGGTGGGCATGCCGGCGCCGGCTGGATGAGTGAGTCAAGCGGGAACAAGTGGCTCTGAAGGAAGAACCAAGGGGCTTGCACGTGAACCCATTTAATCTTAGCTTCCGCCTGCCCCGAGGTATTACATGCCTGCACAGCTGGGCAGCGACAACGTGAACCCAACTCCAAGAAGAAACGAGAAAATGCTGCAGGCAAGGAGAGGAGAGGCAGGAGGACAAGCCAGGAAGCCTTCCAGGGAGGGCAAGGTCAAGCTGCTGTGGGCCCAGATGCCCTTGCCTCGAACGTGTTTCCACCGCCCTGAGCCCAGGGAGGTCTGTGCTTCCTCCACGCCCCTGGCACGACCACGGCGCCTGCGTTCGCCCGGGACGAGCCCGCCCCAAGCGTGATAGGTGCACAGTTGCGAGTATGCAAAACCAAGTCCTTCTCTCCAGGCACAATGAACATAAAAGGCCCAAATATAAACCAGTCTGGAAGAGGACATGTGACATCCCTCTCTATTTCTGGGTAGTTTGAGGTGAGAAGGTTGAACATAGTGCATGGATGTCCTTCCTTAGAGCTGTGTCATTCATTCATTCGTTCGTTCGTTCTCTCATTCATTTGTTCAGCCGTGTGCTCACCCAGCCTCAGGAAGCCTGGGATGAGCCAAGACAAAACCTCTGCCCTCTCTCCAGCCCTCTGGTGCCTGTGGTTTTGGCGGGCACTAAAGGACAAGCAAATATCAACAATACTAGCTTCCAAAACAAATAGGGCCACGTGGAGCCGAACTCTAAAATGAGAGTTTTGGATGCAATTTAGATTTGAGTGGGTACAGGAACCAATTCAGCCCGTGGGGTCATGGGCTAACTCCAGGCCCAGGTTCCCACTCAGCGCCTCCCTGGGACCCCCACCAACCCCACTTCCCACCATTCTTCAACCACATTCCCTTTCCTTCTCTACAATATTCTCCACCTGGACTCCCCTGAGTCTGCTTCCCCTATAATCCTAAACCTGACCTCGCAAGGTCCACCGCTTGGACACCCTGCTCCCTGAACCCCAGGGCACACATCTCCACCCACCTTCCACTACCACCCCCCTCATACGCCAAGCCTGCGCTTCCACCTGGAGCCCCTTGAAAGCCATATGTTTACAAACCCTATTTCCCAGGGCTCTCTGTTCAACACCCCTATAAATACATCCTGACTCCCGGGGTACACCATACACACACCCTGGAATCCCACACACACTCACACCCATGTCCTCAAGGGAGCAGCCTTCCCCAGCACCTCCAACTTCTTAGAACCCCAAGGCCGGCCCCTGGCGCCCTGGGACCCAGGCACAGCAGGCGACTCCTCGAGACCCCCCGCACCAGACTCCACAGAAGCTCAACTCTGGGGCGCCAGGCACAAGCCCTCACCCGCCAGGCGCCCCTCCACGCGATTCCCAGGGATCCCGGGCTCCCGAGGCCCTGACCCCGCGCACATCCGCGCCCCGTCGCCCTCGCGGCCCAGCTGTGCCCCTGCCTGCGCCCCGCGCCGCGCCTCGGGGTCCCGGCCCATCCCGCGGAGGCCGCGGCGCCCCCCGCAGCCCCGGCCGGCGCGCCCGGCGCGTACCGTTGGCGATGAGCTTGGCGGACAGCTGCTTGACGAGCTCGGGGATCCGCTCCCACTGGCACTCGGAGCGGCAGCGCTCGATCTCCGTCTCCAGCCGCGAGCCCGCCTTCTTGGTCGCCATCGCGGCCTGGCCCGGCCCGGCCCGCCCGCCCGCAGGCCCCGCAGCCGCGCCGCCGTCGCCCGGGCGCCCCCTCGCCGCCGCCCGCCGCCGCCGCGGGCTCGGGCTCGGGCTCCGGCTCCCGGCTCCGCGGCGTAACGGGAGCGCCGGCTGGGAAGGGGCGGGGAGGCGGGCGGCGGCGGGCGGCGGCGGGGCCCCGGGCGGCGCGAGGAGCGGCCCCTGCCGGCCAGGGCCGGAGCCGCAGCGTGGGCGGGGGTCGGGGCTGGAGGAGGGGCCGCGAGTTGCGAGGGAGATCAGGGAGGGTGAGAAAGGCGCGTTGGCGGGGCTTGGAGGGGGCTGGGGTCGACCCCGACGTGGAAGGGGTGGGGACTCCAGGCACGGTGGAGGGAGGGAGGAAAGGTCGGGGTAGTGGGCTAGGGGGTCAGGGTAGGATGGGGCCAGGAGACAGAGGGAGAGAACTGGGTTGGAGGAAGGGAGAGACTGGGAGTGGGAGTGGGACGGACCCCGGGCCTGGAAAAGGCAGCGACCCTGGAGAAGGTCACCGCACAGGGCGAGCTAGTAGTAGTGGTTTGGGGCCTGGTATGAGGCTGGTGTGAGGGGCAGGCCTGCCTGAGCTTGTCCTGACAGCTCAGGTTTCCAGTAGCTCCCTCTGAGCCTGGGTTGGCTGGAGCCCCTTAGTGGGCCCCTGCTCTGCCCCTGGCAGCGTTGACGACCGCACAGCTCCTGGTGTTCCTAGAGACATCAATCTCAGGCAGACGCAGCACCCGCCGGGGAGGGGCTCCGTAAATGTCTGTTGGGTTGAACGGAGCGAGGCAAAGACTGCTCCGGCTCAGAGGCCAGCTCCCTTGCCCTCTGAGAAGAATGCAAAGTCACCAGTGGGGTTTCCTTGTCTCCGCCCTGCAGACTGAGCGCTGGGGCAGGTGTCCCCAGTATGCATTCTCTCGGCTACTCGGTAACCATGTTGTGGTCACCTACTACACGCCAGGCACTATTTTAGGGCCCAGGGGTACAGCGCAGAACTAAGCAGACAAAACCACTGCCGTGGTGGAGCTCCGCTCCGTCTGAGGACGGAGCTGACAGCCCGGAACACCAGGCACGAGGGAGCACCAAGTCCCCCATCAGCATTACCCTCTCTGGGTGCCTTCCCTCAGCCCCCAGGAGTCCTCGCAGGCAGGGTGACCTCCTACCCCCTCCGCAGCCCTGGGGCCGTTCTTGCAAAGAACAGATGTTGTGGACCCGGGTTTACCAATGAGGATGCTGGACATTCAGACATTGAGAGATGTGAGGAGGGACATCCATGAGATGCCTCCTGACGTGACCAGCATGACCTCCAAAAGCACCCCCCAAGGCCAACGAGGTGATGGAGGTTGATTTGATGGACCTCCAACGCCGTGGAATGTTCGAGTTTCAGCAGGGGACCCTTTGGTTCCACCAAAAGGAAGTAGGGAGGTGAGGAGAAGGAGCCTCCGCCAGAGAAATGTCGCAGACCTTTATGCTGTCCTGTTAATTCCAGCACAGAGGCCTGTCCTTCCAGATGTTTGCCTGGAATGTTCTCTGCCCTCTGGTCCGGGAGGGAAATGCCTGCACATTCTTGGAGACTCAGCCCAAAGGTCACCAGGAAACCTTGCTCAACGTCTGGCAGGGCCTGCGAGATCCCACAGCAGCGGCGAGTCCTCTGTGATAGGACTTTGCACAGCAAACCCTGCCGCCTCAGTTGCCCCACTGCAGTGTGAGTGATCGGTGGCCATCTCTCTGCCCAGCTAGCCAATTCGCTCTAGAACAAGGCCTGTGCTTTCACAGGGGCAGGGTGGAGCTTGAACCCCGACTCAGCTTGTGCCACCGGGGCAGTGGCATCGAACCTCTGCGTGCCGTCCACACCTACAGCTTCCCCGCCGCAATGCCCACCCACGGAGCCGGTTAAGGATTACATGAGGAAGCACAGGCAACACTCTGAAATGGGGTTGGTATGCCTTAACAGTGCAAGAAGTGTGAGCTATCACTCTGTGTTTCGGTGCCCCTTCCACTCAGTGCGGGGCCTGGCACAGCACAGGAGCATGAAGGAGAGAGCGAATGAATGGGTGAGCAAATGAAGATGGAGATCTCCAGGATCCAGAATCAGCCTTCAAATATTTCCCTTTAGGGTTGACACAATAATAAACATATGAATAGGACTACGTGTGAGGTTTCCACCTTCGCTGCAGGCCGCCACAGAAGTGGCCGACAGCCACCCAGTACTTTTAGACCGTCTGCTTGAGCGCTGAGGTCACTGGGGGTAGGGGTTGAGAGCAAAGGCAGGCAAACATTGTCAGCCGGACCTAGCAGAGGGAAAGGACTTTCTGAGCCCTCGCTGTGTGGAGCCAGGGAGCGGGGCCTCCGAGTCTCTGGGTTCATTCCCACACCTGCGAGGCTTTGATCTCCACCCACTGCCCAGGGAGCTCTGGCAGCTGCCACAACCACTGTAGAATCACGATCACGTGATCTCATGAGGAGCAGGTCCCCCAATGGTTTTCCAGGTGAGCTTACCTGCGGGTGGTACTGCAGGTGGTGCACAGGAAGTAGAAAGTCATTTACGCTAATAATAGTAATTAAGCCAACATCTTTTTTTTCCAGGCATTGGTATTACAGGTTTGACAAGGATGTGAAAAGTCACTGCCTATGGTCGAATCTAGCCTTGAGGCCCCGCGGGAAACAAGCTCAGTGAAAGGTGTCCCCAGATTATTCTTTGAGAAAGGCTGGCGTGCTGGGGACTCGAGGCCCAGAGTCCAGCCTCAGAGTGAAGGTCAGTGCAAATGGGGGCACCTCTGGGGCCTGGAGACCTCCCGCCCCTCTTTCCCGAAAGCCTGGGCTCCCTGTACAACTAGAATAGCAGAAGAGGTTAGCAGAGAGGGAGAGGGCTTGAGAGAGACCCCTGGCGTGGGGGGTGGGGGGCTCGGAGGAAGCAGACCCAAGGAAGAGAAAGGGCCAAGGCCTTTGCCCCATGTCTCTCTCAGCCCTGAAGTCCCTCCCCCAGACAGCCACCCGATTCTCCCCCCCTTCCATTAGGTCTCTGCTCCAAGGTCACCTCCCCAGGAGCGTCTTCCCTCAGCAGCTATACAAACCCTTCACTCCCTAACCTCTCGCTGCTCTGTGGTTTTCTTCTTGTCACCCCTGACTTACGTTTATCACCTTAGTATTTCTTTCCTCTCTCCCCTTACTACAATGTAAGCTCCACGCGGGCAGGGGTTTTTGTGTGGTTTTGTTCACTGCTGCATCCCAGCCCCGAGAATGGCACCCGACAGGCATATAGTAGGTGCTCAGTAAATGTTTGTCGAATGGGTGAATAAGCAGACGGGGGTGGGGGGGGGGGCCGGGTGGACCAGGTGGACTCCAGGCCTGCACATCCCAGCGGACAGGCCCACGGAGAAGCGGGGGTCAGCCTGCTGAAGCAGATGGGTCTGATTTCAGGGGCAGGCAGAAATCCTGCAGCAGGAAAGGGCAGGGTCCTCTGTGTACGAACAGGACAGTCACTTCTAACCTTTGACCAGCCCCCCATGCCGAGCAGCAGCCTGTCATCTGGCTGCCTGAGCACGTGCGAGCCATGAGCAGCCGGCCCTGTGGACAGGGGCTGCGGCCGTCTCGGTGGGCACCTGGAAACCGCACCGCAGCTTGCAGGCCCGGGCCTTCAGTAATGACAGTGGCAGTGCCTTCGGGTGGTTTTTAATTAGGAAATATTTGATACCTATAAAAACATATATAATCAAGAGGCGCCCATGTAATAAAAGAATAAAAAGAACACCAGGGAACCGACAGCTACCCCAGAGTCAACCACTAGCTTGTTGTTTATGATACCCTTGATCTTTAAAAAAGGAGTTTTATCACCCACCGCACTCGCTTTCTGCCACCCTTTGTGATATGAGTGTAATACGCAGCCCTGCACGTGCTATTATTTGGTGTCACACTTTCTAAGGATGGCACCGTGTTCTTTAACTTGCTCTCTTGCTCACTGCGTTCCTAGACGTGTTTTTGTTGCACGTAGCTGCTGTTCCTTCCTTTTCTCTGGTGTGTGAACCTCTCCGTGTGACTCGACCACACTGGAATCGTCCATCCTCCAGGTCTGTATCGCCAGTGCCCAGGTTTATGCCTTTCTAAACAAGGCTGCTGTCTGTAAAAGCTGCATCAGGGCCGTTGTTCTGAGCAGGGTTTCGGAGGGGGACTTCAGATGGCTCTGTGCCCTTCCCCCTTGAAGATCTCCTGACCCCCTGCCCAAGGGTTACCTGCTGCTGCCTGGCGCCATGGTCCCCGCTGCAGGGACAAACCAGTGGGAACCTTGCTGAGCCACTTCGGTGCAGGCACAGGCTGGTGTCTCTAATTACCATCTGTTGCCATTTGAGAGGAATGGCCAGGTGCAGGAGGCTGGCTGGCCCCACGAGGAGAGTCGAGTCTGTTCCTAGGGTAGCCTTCCACTTTGTGCGTCCAGAAACACGTGGGTGCTGCAGGGTGCTCCCCCTACTCCCACTAATGAAGCTCACCAGACACCACCGTTTACACTCCATGCCAACTTTCATGTATGATGGGAGCCGTTCCCCCAGGACCCCACACCCAGAGACCCCGATCCCAGCGTCAGGGTGCGTACAAAGCGGAAGTGGTTGCTAGGAGGTTGTTTGGTGAACATGGACTTGGAACAAGAGAGGGGAAAGTCCCAGGAAGGTCATCACCTGGAAAAGCTCTGTGGGCTGTCTCGGTCCCATTCCTGAGACCACCGCTCCAGGGCTGAGGGTACCCACATGTCTGCACCCCCCGGCCTAGGATGCGGCTGCACCAGCTCCGTGAATTTTCACTTCTCGTCTGCACGCATGCCCGCCTTTCCTAGCAGATGGACCCCATACCAAAGTCAAGTCAGGCTTTGATTTAAGTCTGTGTGATAGGAATCCCTTACCTTCTTGAGTGTTTTTTCACACTCAGAGTTCTGGGGACACTTTCCTGTTACCTGATATATCACCTGCCCTACTTTCCTCCAGAGGGGCAAAAAGTGGCTTATGATATAATATCCACTTACACGTTTGAGTGAGAGCAAAGTAAAGATCATCTGACTGGCTAGGCAGCCACAGAAGCATGCAAACACTTCTG